GGGGGGGGGGGGGCAGGGGCGCGAGGTCACAGAAAACTGACGATGACCCCATCAAAACGTCGGGCATTTAAGCGTTAAAACATTAAACCCACTCGCAGCCATGATGGGGCTGTAGGAGTGTGGGATGGGTTATAGGCCTCACCGTTCATGAATGGTCCCCCCACATATTACTGTTAAGAAGGGGCACGATTTGTGTTGCCATTATTGCTGGCCAATGGCCATTCCTGTGCAACACAAGACTGTGAGAGGTTCTGCAAGGACCTTTTTTACAATTAAAATATATAAGCCCAAAAGCAGCTTGCAAGAAGAAGCGAAGCCACAATTACCCTGGAGGGGTGCTGGTAAGGGCAGACACCGCTAGCAATTACCCTGGACAATTTGAATCTGAAAAGTGTTGAAAAAAGACAGACACACACACCTTCACATCTCAAACATATGAGCCCAACACCAGCTAGCAAGTAGAAGGGAAAACCACAGTTAAAAAAAAAGAGAAACCACAGTTAAATAAAAGAGGGACAATTTTGGTCTGAAAAGAGTTGCAAAAGACTGTTACACAAAGACTGATACACACTTTCTCTCTGTGCAGCAGACAGGGGCTGCAAGGGTATGAAATACTATGAATGGGTTATAGGGGGTCCTGTGGAACGGGGGCCCTGCATCCCCCCCTCAAAGTTCCAATTGGCCAGACGGCGAGGCGAGGGTCGGTCTCATGTCCAGCTAAAAGGTGTCAGCGCAAGCCCTGAGAACACAGGAAAGCGCACGACAGACAATCAACACCGACGACGGCATCCTTTACTACGTTGTCATTGGATCATTCAAGCGTCTCTGACAAATGGAAGGAGGACGAAATAACAAACGTCAATCATTTGCAGAGAGGGTATGCGGAGAAGGGAGCGCTGGAGAAAGCCCTCTTTTCTTGACTATCGATTGCAAGCTTCAATACTATACCTGCTTTGCATCGAGAACTCCGCGCATGCAGCTCGATTGTGATGTGAAAACGTGATGTGAAAACATCACCACACAAAGCAAATCATCACTATTTCAGTTGTGCACAGTATACGAGCGTGGTAACCAGCCAGGGGATGATCACCTGGATGCTGGTGTCAACGTGGACCAGCCTGCGGAGGGGATCTCATGGACGCCACAACGAGCTATAGCGTAAGTCCTTGCTGCAACTGTGCAGCCGTGGGCTGAATGTCGCCACCCGCCCGTATGGACACTGGGTCGCAGCTGCAGTGGTAAAGGCATCCGGCTTATGTCACGGTCGGCTGAATGTCACGACCCGAGGTCACCAGTTCTTTCCCGCTGGCTGCGGAGTTTCATCCTCGCTGCTGTTCCCAGCTGGACATCACTATTTCTTGCTCGGAACCGTTGGCAGTGTCTTGCACTCACTTTCTCCCACAAAACCCTGTTTATCGCCAACTGACTGCCGCTAGCTGTGGGCACGCTGATGGTAGCCATCGCTACGGTAGTGCACCTGCTGCTGCTGTTGCTGCTTCTGCTGCTCCCTTCTGTAGAGAAGGTGTCTCAGATATCCAAACTTGAACAGATGAGTGGCATTAGCGCAATATAAAAAAGCGATTGAGCGGTTTTCCCCCTCGTCTGTTTCTCTCTTCCTTCCTCTCTCTTCCTTGCTCCATTCCCACCTTCCCTTTCCTTCTTGCTCCCTGGCCTTCCTCCCCCCTGCTGATCCCTCCTTGCCTCCTTCCTTGGCTGCTCGTTTTGCTCACCGACCGTGGGTCCTCCCCTCAAAACTTACCCATCTGATCAGGTTCCAATCGCTTCTGTATAGCCGTAGCAGCCTGCAGTCGTCATGTGGAAAGGAAAGCAGTAGATTAGAGTCATTATACACATTTTGTGGTCATGAAAAATCTCATGCACGTCAATCTGGACCATATCTGGTCGTCACTGTAAGCCTTCGTCAAAAAAAGAAAAGAAAAGAAAAGAAAAAAAAAGGATCACAATCATCACATCCAAAGAATTGTTCTTTACACTAAAAGGGGGCATAAGATCTCTGTCGCGGTAACCAGCAACAGCGACCACTCTTCTTCCATGAGCTCGCTCCTGGGAACTCCTCACTCTTCCCGTGTCTGCACTCGTCCTGAAGTGTTTTTTTTTTTTTGGTTATGAACTTATGATTAAGACAAGTACTTGAAAGAACAGTTCGTGATTTTCCTATGGTGGTTATTAGCACTTATTGCAGAAGCAACAAAGTCAACGATAGCATGTTTGACTGTCTGAGACCTTATCATCATTGTATGCAGGCTGGCGGCACCAGCCAAAAGGGGAAAACAACAACGTTGCGCTGGCTTTTCAGCAAAGCTTGGCAGGGGCGTGCAGGGGGAATCTGCCTCGGCAAAAAGAGGCTCGAATGTACTGGTGGTTTAGTCATCATCCCTCATGCTATGCCCCTCCACATCTCTCCTCACTTCCCGGTCACTGGATATACAGGCTGCACAAGTTTGATGGTATGCACCTGGACGTGCAACTGTGGAGGTTTATTGTGACGGAGATACTGCTGGTTTTTCCTTAAACTTTCCTTCTCACGTTCTCAACACAAGACGGGCTATTTATGTCCTTCACCAGGGCTGCATGCCCGCCGACTGCCTACCCCTACCGCCTACCCCGACCGCTGACCGGAGCTACTTCTAGCTTTTCCTTAAACTTTCCCTTCTCACGTTCTCAACACAAAACGGGCTGTTTATGGCCTTCACCAGGGTTGCATACCCGCCGACTGCCTACCCCGACTGCCGACCGTATTGCAGCTGACCAGTAGGGCCGACCAGTCGGCGGTCTGCCGACCAGTCAAGAAAACAGCCATCCACTTTTTTTTCCCAAATCTGAGTTGGGGGCTGTATGGCGCTTGCTGAGTACAGCCCGAATCCGCTGAGAAACTTTTGGGAATGAGGGGGGTTATGGGGGGAGTATAGGGGGGGTATAGGGGGATATACGGGCGCTGTAGGG